CTTTGAAAATCAAGTTGAAGGATTCTCTATACAGTGAAGTCTTCAATGGCCCCTCCCCCCACAAAGGACAGTGAGTTACCACTCTTCCCACTTTGGTCTCCCATGGTGCTGATCCTTCTGTACTATGCCTATTGGTTGGCTAATCAGTCCTCTCATTACACTGGGAGCTCTTTAATAGTTGAGGGCATATTGCAGTCTGGTAACTAGAGAAATGCTTCTGCTTAAGAAATGCCTGTGATCTTATTAAATTGCACTGCAAAAGAAACAATCAACAGAACTAAGAGACAACCTACAATATGGGAAAAACATTTTACAACCTGCTCCTCAGACAAAAGACTATTATCTAGAATATATAAAGAACTCAAAATAACCAGCCCCCCAAATGTAAAGACCCAATCTGAAATGAACAGACATTTCTCAAACAAAGAAATAAAAGCAGCAAGTAAACATATGAAAAAATGTTCCACATCACTGGTCATTCGAGAGATGCAGATGAAAACAACACTGAGATTTCACCTCACCCCACAAAGAATGGCTGCTATCAAGAAATCAATCAGTAACAAATGTTGGGGGGTGTGTGGGGAGAAAGGAACCCTTCTCCATTGCTGGTGGAAATGCAGACTGGTGCAACCACTATGGAAGTCAATATAGAGATACCTCAAAAACTAGGATTAGTGGTTCCATTTGACCCAGCCATCCCTCTGTTGGGTATCTTTCCAAAAGAATTAAAAGAATCATACCACAGTGATATATGCGCACTCATGTTTATAGCGGCACAGTCTGTAATAGCTAAAACTTGGAAACAGCCCACCTGCCCGTCAGTTGGAAATTGGATAAAGAAAATGTAGTTTTTCTATAAAATGGAATACTACTCAGCCATAAAGAATGAGAAAGTAGATTCATTCATAGGAAAATGGATGCATATTGAGGATATACTCCTAAGTGAAATAAATAAGTCACACATGTGTAAATACCGAATAGTTTCTCTGGTGTGAAAAACTAAAATAGTACTCAAGATCCTAACGGGTTAATTAGCAATGTGAAACAGGAAGAAAGGGACTAAAGATATAGGGACAGTGAGAAGGGTAGGGTAAGGGGAATAAGGGAAAGGGAAAAAATATGAGAAAATGTAAAAATGGAATTAAAGTCTTTGTAGGTGGGGAGAGGAGGAGGGGCGAAGGGAGGGTGGGGACAAGGGGGAAAATGAGAACCAAGACCTGTCATGTAAAGGTACAAGATCCCAGTAATGAATGTAACTATATTGTCTACCTAGAATGCACCAATAAATTCAATTTTAAAAAAAGAAGTGCCTGTGAGCCGGGGTAATAGCACACACCTGTAATCCCACCTACTCTAGAAGCTGAAACAAGTGGATCACAAGCTTGAGGTTAGTTTGGACAATTTAGTAAGACTTTGTCTCAAAATTTAAAAAAGAGAGATGAGGATATAACTTGGGACTCTCTCAGTTCAATCCATAGTATCAAAAAAAATCCTGTGACACAAAGACAAGTATAGGAGTCATAGATGGATGCAAAGAAGTCATTTTAATTATATATTATAGAAGCTGGTAAACTCTTGGTCATCTATGGGCATAATCCTAGCTCTGGTCCACAGAATTAGGAGTATTCTAGGACTGAAACCAGTGACAATATCCCTTTATCTCTAACCAGAAGCATGGGCAGAGCCTGGCTGCTAAAAACACAAGTTGAGAAACATGCACCAGTTTCTCACCATGTACCATGTTCCTCTTTATCTTCTCCCCTTTTCTACTCATAGATATTCTAGCCAGCATGTTCATAAAACACATGTTGTTAAAGCAATGCTGAAACATAGTATGGAAATATTATCAGAGTTATATCTGACTTTGCCTAACACCTTCCAGGATTAGGCCATAAAACAGCCACTTATGAACGTGGAGTGAGCACAGGAAACACAGCTGTATGCATTTATGAGAATCCTGGGAATGGGAGCCCTTGTATCAACAGTTTAGGTTAAAACAAGAGAATCTGCTGAAATCTACTAAATGGAAAAGGATATGATCCATCTCTGGCTAAGCCTGAAAGTGAACACTCAGGTTTTCCTGTAGATTCAAGGGGAAAAGAAATAGAAAATTTGTATGAACTATTATAGGTACATGACGTCTGCAGGGCTGACTTCAGAGGGATGCTCACGGTTTTGGAATCAGAAGGCAGCCCCTGGGAAACCTCTTGGCCACCTGATATGGGCACTTACAAGATTGCCAGAATGGGGTACTACATTCAACTTCACTAATGTAGCTGCTCTCAACTGAGATGATTTTCACTGCCAGAGGATACTTGGCAGTTTCTAGAGATACTTGTTTGTCATCCTGGTAGAGAGGAGTGCCACTGGCATCTAGTGGGTAAAAATCAGGGATGCTAGGGCCAGGGATTTAGCTCAGAAATTGCGGGGGGCAGGGAGCAAGGGAGGGGGGGGAGAGAAACAGAAAGAGAGAGAAAGAGAGAGAGAGAGAGAGAGAGAGAGAGAGAGAGAGAGAGAGAGGGAGAGAGAGAGGGAGAGAGAGAGAGAGACTGAACCTAGCCCAATTGATTTTCATAATAAGATTGAAATAGTTTAGAACCCAGGATTTAGCTCAGTGGTGCTGCCGCCTGCCTCACAAGCACAAGGACCAGAGTTTGATCCCGGTAAAAAAAAAAAAAAAAAATCAGGAATGCTGCTCAACCTACTGCTATATGGAGGAGAGCCCCACAGCAAAGAACGTTTCATCTACAGATATCAACAGTATCAAGGTTGAGATTCCCTGAATCAGAGCAACCACGGAAAGTACAATGATGGAATCTGTATGAGCCAGATCTCCCTTCTGTGGCCTCTAAGCAACAGTGCAAGGTGCTAGTTTGCTGAACTGTGGACAATCAATAAAGATTCTCTTTTAGGACAAAAAATGCAGCCTGTTTGCAAATGAGGACAAGCAGTACCTAGTAGGATGAATTTTCTTGGTTTCTGAGAGATCTCTAGGGTGTTAAACCTTTCAAAAGTAATCCAGGTCATTAAATCCCAGACCTAGGATTTAGGTTAGGTTATCTTGGCCTCTACTAAACAAAATCAGGGTCAGACCTGCATGCCAGGATACCATCCAATTACTTCATATCTGCCTGCAGCATAAAGGGATTCCTGCTACCCCACCTCTATACACACATAAAACTTTTATGAAAAAATTGTTAGATGGCTATGCACTTAATTTTAGTCACTGCAAAAATGTGCAAGTCAAAGTATCTGAGCTCCATGCAGAGTATTCAAACATGATAAGGCAGTCAGATGCCACTCGGTATTACTGCAGTTAATTTCAGATACCTGTCCATTGATTATAAGATTTTGATGGATAAGAAAATAATTTTCAACAAGTGAGATAATCTACAGTCAAACACTTTTTGGCCATAAGAGCAACGAACAGTGCCTGTATAGTATATTCTAAGTACAATATGTGCAGTTGCTAAGAAAAGCATGAACACTTTTAATAATGAAATCGGTTTCAAACACAAATGCCAGTGGCTATCTAATCAAAGAAGATGGCTTACTTTTCCATTTCTCTCAACTCCTTGAGATTAATCTGATAATGTGTGTTTTGAAACAGAGCAGGAATCAAGCTTCTCCTAGAGAGCAAGAGTTCAACATTTTTATTTTTGATCCACATTCTAATACTAAGTCCCTTAGTTTGAAGTTAACATCTGCTTGCTTCCTCAACATTTCTTGCTACTGCCTACCTTTCTCAAGAAAATGGGCAGCACAGTTAGCCAGATTTGTTAGGCTGTTTTTGTAATCCACACACCCTCAGCGGCAGAAGTCACTTTGACACAGTAACTAACATTAATAATATGTGATGCTAATATTTCTGAGAAATAATGCTGGTTTTTCTATTAAAACTGAAATCTAACACTTATCTCATGTTGATAGAGCTGAGTATGATACTGGATGTTATTTTCAAACTGTTTTTGCTTGGTTATGTTTCCTTTATTTAGTCTAAATCTCCAGCAATTACAAAGTATTCCATTTCATTTCTGTAATGCTAACTGTGCTTTAAAATGTTTAATTACAGCTGATGGGATCTCTCTTCCCTTATGGAAACAGATCCAAGGTAAATCTATAGAGTTTGTGGACTGAAAGGGATATAAGAATCAATCATTTTTAAACCAACTACTATTTATTCTCTAAAAGCCTACTGCTTTCCAAGTACCCATCAACTACCATCTCCCAATAGCTCTATTCTCCATTCTTAACCAGAAAGCAAGCATTTTGAGGGTATCAAATAGCTGCCTCTGAGTTCCCTATTTACTGTTAGTTCCTGATTCATGTCTATTTCACTAACTACTAATTGTCCTTAGTGGAATTTGGGCATATTTCCATGATATTTCATACTCCTAAGCAGAGAAAGTATTCAGTACCATGGATTTCTGAAATTACACCTTTAGGGAAAAGAAATCCAAACTACAGAATTCTAGTAGTCCACAAAGACTCCACTCTGCCTCCCAAAAGCACGCATACCCACACACGTGCACACACGCGCACACACTCTCAACGACATCCTTCAGAATAATGTTCCTGAATTCTCTGTAGAACAACCGGATGGCACATACATCAAAATATATTTCATCTGATCATTACAAACAGCTTATCAATAAATCATTTAAATTTCAAAAAATATCAACAATGGGTGAAGGAATAAGATGACCCTTTGCAATTGCCTGCAGCACAAACAGGAAATCAGAACACCATCTCTTCCACCAGCTTCCTTGACTGCTCTAAAGTGGAGCTAACAAGTCCTACAGAATATACACTAAAGTGCCCACTAGAGCTGTCCCATTTCCAGGTACCACTTGACCAACCTAAGTCCAATAGCTACACCACGGAAACACCTCAGCGGGTGCTTGGCATTACAAAAATATTTTAAAATAATAAAGACAGCTCCTAGAACTGCCTGGAGTTTTCAGCTTTGGGCCATGAGGTTGTATGGCGCTTGTCCCTACCTCGGACTTCCACACGATGTAGGGGTGACCTCGACTGTTTGGTGGGGGCTGAAACTTCCTCTGCTGGAGCCACCTCCTGGGAGAAGCAAAGATGCCATTGGGGCCTCCTCCAGAGGAACAGAGGATGCTCACTGAGCTGCGGCCACTGCCAGGCCCGGCCAGGACGGAAGGCAGGTCCCAGGCCATGCTCTTCTTGAGACCACTTCGACCCAAGGGGACTTCGTAGTCAAAGTGGAAGCTGCCAGAAGGCGACTTCTCCTGCGGGGTGCTGGGTGTGGAGAAGGACGAGGAAAAAGGTCTGGGTGTCGGGAGCCAGTTGGCCCGAGAAGTCGGGCTCCGGGGAGAAGACACCGAGCGGGGGCCAAGACTCTCAGCTAGGGGCTGCGGGGAGCAGAGGCGGCCCGCTGTGGAACCCCGAGCGCAACCGTCTGTGCCTGTCTCGCTCCCGCAGCCGCCGATCAGGGCTGGGTCCAAGCTGCGGGTCTGGCGCAGCTTCCTCTTTGAGAAGCCCTTGGCTGAGGCCGCGCCACCAGAAGCGGGCGAGGAGCAAGAGAAGACGCTGTGGAGCAAGCTCTGTGCGGACATCTCCAAGAAGCTGTGCCTGAAGGCCACCTTCTTCTCTCTCCCTCCTGGATTCCGGGAGGCTTTGGGCTGGGAAAATAAGGTGGTTTGGGAAACGCTGCGAGGCGAGGCACTCTCAGGTCAGTGCCCGGCTCACGCACCGCCAGCTCGCTCCAAGAGCCCCTGAGGGGGCAGCAGGAGGAGATCCATCACCCGCCTTCTAGGAAAAAGGGCTCCCACCGCTAGAACCTTCCCCGGAGCCCAAGTAGCAAACAGCATAGGAAAGAGTTGGGTGGGAGGTCAGGCGCTCTCTGGGTTCCCAACTCCAACCCGCCAGCGCCACTCCCCCTTCCTAGGCTAGGCAGGATACTCCGCTCTCTGGCTCGCTGGCTCTGGACAACTTGGAAGCCTCCAGCAAGCTCCTCCTCACAGCCTGAGGACCGTCCAGCGGGCTGGGCAGAAGGCTGCCTGGGCGTGCGCCGAGGGAGCGTCCGCCGCGCTCTCTGCTCGGTGAGAACTTCTCCCGCACTGGAGCTGAGCGCCCCAGCTGCGCCCTAGGTGCACCCTCGAGGGGCCCCGTCGTCTGAGCCCGTGCTGTTGGGCTCCGTTGGGCGGCTGCGCCCACTCTTTCGACTGGCGAAGTGAAGTCCAAGAGTATGTCCAAGTTGAAGGCTCCTGCTGGAACTCGGTCTTGCCGCAAAGTAGAACACCAAGCGAGCTTCGCCCAGGGTCTCGCAAGGGCTAAGTGACTAGGACGCCAGAGAACTGCTGGCCGCGCTCAGCGCTATTCCGAAAGGAGGCAGCTCAGGGGACCGCAGGGAGAGCGGGTGCCCCTGTTCCGCTCTACAGAGACACTTGATATTCACAGCCAGCTTTGGGGCCTAGGACCGGCGCGGAGATGTCCTGCTCGCACGCTTGCTCTAGAGGCAGCGGGGAGGGAGTGGCCGGGATGGGGAGGGCCAGAGGAACGGAGGGTCTGGAGCAGGGGCGGAGCCTGCGGCAGGAGAAAGCAGGAGGTGAAGTTTTCCAGGCGCCGAACCTGGGAGCTGCGCTGAGTGGACAGCTAACCTCAGATACCTGGTCTCCTGGGGAGAAATTCCAGAGGAAAAAAATGCAAACCGTCTCCTCCTCCAGATGGTGGGCACTCCCGCTCCACTCACGTTTCTGGAAAGGAAGGAAAGTGTCAGATTGCACCCCACCCACTGGTGTCAGATGGGCAGCCCAGGATGTCTGCACTGAAGTTGGAGTGAAATCCCCCACCACCACCACCACTACCACTGCGTTTGTTTCTTGTTTTTTTTTTTTTTCTGTTTTTAAGGAAGGGTAGAGGTGCAGTCAAACGCTGCGGTTGCCCACTAACTGGCTGGAGGTGGGAACTTACTAAGAAAAGTTGAGGGGATGGAGTCCTCTCCGAGTAAGGGTCGTGAGAATATAAAACACTGTAGGAGGCGGGGTTAGTGGAACCGGGCAGGGGCAGGCGCCAGGCGAAGTGTCAGTGGAGAGGCCGCTGAGATAGGCGCTGACAAAGCCATCTGTCTCCGCTCCGCACCGGACGCCTCTGCGTGCCTAGCGCGGTGGCAACAACGCTGGGTAGCTGGAAAACGCTGGCAAAGTCAATATTCCGGGCTTCTAGATGAATCTGAAAGCAGCTTCTCTGGCCCGACTCCCGGGACCAATAAAGCACAAAGCATCACCCACCGCTTGTGGGGCTTTTTGATGGAAAGCTTAAACTTTGCAAGGTGTTTTAACAACCATCTGAGCAGGGAGCAGACAGAATGTTGGAAATGCGTGTGTAGTTTTTGTGTTTGTGTGTCCCCTTTTACCGCTCCTGTTACGAAAAGAATTTTTTATATGAGTGGAAAGATGACTTTATCATTTCTTGTATAAAAATTTTACAATGAAATTATGAAACAGTTGCCTTAGTAAATTTTGTAGATTTGGTTTTAGAATCTGCCCTTTATTCTCTATAATATTATCGGGGAAAAAGTAACATACTGTAACTTTTTAAAAAGCTATTTGATATTCCTAGTTGTCCAAATATCTAGAAGGAGCTAGGTCAGGAAATCTAATTAACAGAGAATTCTTTACGTCCACCGAGGGCTGTGACACATGCGTCTTGGAGATAGCCTGTGCTCCTTTCTATAAATGCAGGGAGCAGAAAGCATCCCAGCACCTGCCTGTACCTTTAAGGAGCTGTGCCAAGCTTGAAGACAAAATGAGATTCTAATTTCCCATCCCCTGTAAGGCTGTCCATTCCTTCTAACCCTGGAAGGCAGAAGTGTTTTCAGTGGCTGTCAATCAGTGTGCAGCTGAGACACAGCATTCACTACAAACCTCCAAATTGCCTTTGAGGGATGGCGATGTTTGCTTTCTTCCCTCCTCACACAAGTCACCTTGGAAGTACATGTGTGGGTCTTACCTGCCTTTTCTTGGGTAACAATACCTTGTAACTTGTCACTAATAATGAAAACACTTAGCAGAAGTCTGTACTACTGCAATACCAGTGCATGGTTACGCCTCATTGGATTTGGGCATTTGAGGTAGATTATTAAGAGTCACACTTCACAGGACCACTTATAACTCAGGGAGTTGAGAAAATGTAATTTGTAACTCACGAGTTCTATGTCTCTAACCTCATATGATGAATATGGGGTTGAAAGCACAGCCTGCCCCAATTGTGCAGGACTAGTATGAATTTCCTACAGAAACAAACACATGCATTCATGGTCATGCGTGGAGAGCCAATGAGCTCTGGCCCTCCCAGAGCTTGCGGTGCACACATGCCATTTAATTCATCGGCTTGCTTCCGATGTGTCTTGACCCTACCTTAGCCAGAAATATGCTTCATGGTTGGGAACAATAAAGAAGTTATTTTAAATACATTTTTGTGAGGCTTAACCATGGACATGGCTTAAGAAGCACACTGTTAAGTGATGCTATTGTGTGAACCTCCTGGAGTGTATTTAAACAAACCCCGCTGGTACGGACCAATCACCCAACCTGGCTTCTTGCTGCAATCAAGAGATGCAGTAACATGAGATGCATGGGGCTGCTGCCAGCATGACACAGCATACTGTTTTATGGTGAACAATTTTTTAAAATGGGAATATACTCTATGATAATAATAAAAAGGTGTGGTATAGTATAGTATATGAATACCAGCCATATAGTCATTATTATAATTATCAAGTATGTATTCTATATAATTGTACGTACTTTACTTTTATAACTAGCACAGGTTTATTTAGACCCACTTCACCACAAACACAGATGTAATGGATTGCACTTATGGGAACATGGTATATATATATATA